CAGCTTACTGTGAACTCTGCCTCCCGGGTTCAAGCAATTCTCCTGCCTCAGCTCCTGAGTAGCTGAGATTACAAATTTGTGCCACCACATCCAGCTTATATGTGTGTGTGTGTGTGTGTGTGTGTGTGTGTATATATATATATATATATATATATATATATTTTTTTTTTTTTTTTTTTCCAGACAGAGTTTCACTCTTGTTGCCCAGGCTGCAGTACAATGGCACAATCTCAGCTCACTGCAACTTCCATCTCCTGGGTTCAAGCAATTCTCCTGCCTCAGCTTCCCGAGTAGCTGGAATTACAGGTGCCCACCACCATGCTTGCCTAATTTTTTGTATTTTCAGCAGAGACAGGTTTTCATCATGTTGGCTGGGCTGGTCTTGCACTCCTGACTTCAGATGATCCACCTGCCTCGGCCTTTCGAAGTGCTGGGATTATAGATGTGGGCTATCACATCCTGTCTGAAAATCATTTTATATTAGGTCAATGCAAAAGTAATTGCAGTTTTGCCATTAAAAGCAATGGCAAAAAATGTAATTACTTTTGCACCAAACTAATAAAACATTTTTAATTTTATGCATGGAACAAAGTTTGTATACATTGAACCATCAGAAAGCAGAGGTGTCAGTGTGAGCTACTGATGTAGACAATCTGTGATTGTCTGGCATCACCATCATTCCTGACTTTCAATATATATGCTACCAATAAGCAATTTTTTTCTTACACCATTTACACTTAAGTACTTAACAGTAAAAAATATAACACACCCTTAATACAGCGAAAAAATAATGTGCTCAGGGTAACTAAACAGCACAGTATCATCCCTAACTGTTAAACCACAACAAACAAGGGCAGGTTTTCAATTTCCACCCATATTGTGTCTGCAACCCATCCCATGAAGTCAAGCGTGGAGTTTTCCACTTGCAGCATCATGTCAGCACTCAAATTTTGGGGGCTGGGTGCACTGGCTCATACCTGCAATCCCAGCACTTTGGGAAGCTGAGGTGGGCAGATCACTTGAGGTCAGGAGCTCAAGACCAGCCTGGCCAACTTGGTGAAACCCAGCTCTACTAAGAATATAAAAATTAGCCAAGTGTGGTGGCAGACACCTGTAATCCCAGCTACTTGGGAGGCTGAAGCAGGAGAATCGCTTGAACCTGGGGCAGAGATTGCAGTGATTGTACCATTGCACTCCAGCCTGAGTGACAAAGGGAGACTGTCTAAAAAAAAAGAAAATTCTAATTTTGGGCTGGGTGCAGTGGCTCATGCCTGTAATCCCAGCAAAGTGGGAGGCCAAGGTGGGAGGATTCCTTGAGCTCCTTGATCTCAGGAGTTCAAGACCAGCCTGGGCAATTTTGTGAAACCCCATCTCTTAATAAGAAAACAAAAAATAATAAGAAAAATTTTTTTTCCGATTTTGGAGCATTTCAGATTCCAGATTAGGAATGCTCAATCCATATCGCTCTAGAACTATACACTCCAGCTATATTCCACTGGTTTATAATTCCTCCAAATGTCTTTATTCTCATCCACCACAGGACCTTTGCACACGCTCTTCCTTGGAAGTTTTCCCCCTCATTTCATATTCCTTTTCGTGGCTTTCCAACCTTCTATCAGATCATCCTCTCTGGGAAACTTTTCAGTTTTCCAAGACTTGGTAATTATCCCCACAGAGGGCAAGAATTTGCCCTTTATATCCTGAAATTCCCCTATCACACAAAGCACCTATTACACTTTATGACTATTCTTTGTCTATTTCCCTTTATTATAGACAGTAAGTTCCAAAGGGGCAGAAACTGTGTAAATGTTTTGCTCACAATTACCTCCCTAGTCCTCAGCCTGGCTCAGAGTAGACATTCAATAAATAATTTTAAAAATCTATTATTAATTAACATGAGAAAACGCTCATGTTTTGTTTTCAAGATAGTTCATCATACCTTACTTCTAGAAGTAGCTACTTTTTTCTTTTCCTTTTTAACTTTTCTAGAGAACTATTATGGGAATTGAATGTAATTTAAATTTTTTAAAATCTTCTGAACATTTTCTAGATTTTACTGCAATAAAAATAAAAATGTAAATGAGTAGTGTGAATATTCATATCATAGGCCCCACCCCCGCAATCCCAATTGCACAGAGTTTAAAGTACTCACTTGCTTTCTTACGTGCAAAAAAGTATGATTATACTACTTGCATCCTCAGATGACACTCTGGCTTTTCAGTCACTCCAGGATCCGGTTTCAAAATGGACTTCCTTGTTTTTTGTGGCCTTTTGTGGCTCTTTTCCAGTTTTTATCACAGACTGTTTTTCTCTTCCTTTTCTCAGTTAAGCACAGCTTCCTGTCATGTTCTATAAACCTGCCACTGTTGATGAGTCCTTTTACATGCCACGTGATTCAGTTGGCTCTCTCACGACCTCTTAGATTCTACCTCAAATTTTAGTGGCAAACAATTTTTTCATTACCTGTTATTTTCTCTCTCTTTGTAATTCATTTCTTAGTCATTAACTCTTCAAACACAGGGCAGAATTGAATGCCCTCACTTAACCATCATCAAATTTTTGTCTGTATCAAAAATAGTACCTGGCACCCAGTAAATAGAATAATTTTTATTCTAGTTGTTAAATTTATTGAATACATTACTTATTGAATAATTATTTACTGAATAAATTTACTCAATTTGTTGAATAAATACCTCAGCATGTACCCTATGACGGCCTGCTTACATCAGTTTATATTGCTTTGTTCTTCATGTGTCACAGATAAACCTTTAAAACTTCATGGTGTACCTAAAAGCTAACACTTAATAATTCTTACACTGTGACCCAAACCAATTAGTCTCTTTCCTTCCTTCCCTCCCTTCCTCCTTTTTCTTTCTCTCTCTCCTTTTCTTCCTTTCTTTCCTTTCGAAACCAAGTCTCACTCTGTCACCCAGGCTGGAGTGCAGTGCCGCGATCTCAGCTCACTGCAACTACTGCCTCCCAGGTTCAAGCAATTCTCTGTCTCAGCCTCCCACAAGCGCCCGCCACCACGCTTGGCGAATTTTTTGTGTGTTTTTAGTAGACGGGGTTTCACCATCTTGGTCAGGTCTTTAACTCCTGACCTCGTGATGCCCCCGCCCCGCCTTGGCCTCCCAAAGTGCTGGGATTACAGTCCTGAGCCACCGCACCTGGCCGGCATTCCTTCTTGGCAAGTTCTTTTTTGTCGTTGTTGTTCAGAAGTGTAAGAAGGTTTCCTTTAGTTATTTTTAATTCTAAAATTAAGAGACTTTATTTGCTTTGGATATGAGGACTAGTCTTTATAATCTAACCTTTAATGGAAACAACCAATGCAGTAATTCATTTAAAAGTAAAACATAGTGACAAATTCACCCTGTAAATCGAATTGCTGGTGCTTATAAATATAGGTGGCAAGTTACTAAGTATGAAGGGTTCTTGGTTCAGGACAAAATATGCCAGTAGTGAGAGTGCAAAGAAAATGTCTGGGTACTGCCACTAATTTAATATTTGGTGTATGTGGAAATCTTAGTGAGTGCTGGGTTGGCAACAGCAGGGGTTTGATGGGATGAAAAAGAAAGTTGGATTTTAGGTTCAGGAAGAAAACAGGATGAGGACATTAGGAGGTGAATTTCAGTTAGCAAGTATGTAGTATTCGAACGAAGGAATAAGCATCCGAATCTTGGGAAAATAACCTAGAGAACTATGAATTGAAGAAAACTGAAGAGGAAAAATAGCAAGGACTTAGGCCCAGGACGGCTTTGAATGCAGCTCAGCACAAATTCGTCAACTTACTTAAAATACGATGAGATTTTCTTGTCTAATGTCATCCGCTATCATTACTGTTAGTATGTGTGGTCTAAGACAGCTTTTCTTCTTCCAATGTGGCCCGACAAAGCCAAAAGATTGGATACCCTTGGCTTAGATGGTGGAGTCAAGGGAACTAAAGATATGGCCCCAGACTGCCAAAGCCAGAGGTGAGAAGAGAAAGCAAAGAAAACAGGCCTTAAAGGTGGAGAAGAAAGCTCAAAGGTCGAAAGAAACAGGGATGGCATGCTGCCCAAGAGGCAGGGACAAAGAGGGAATCCGGAGCCAAACACTGCGGTAAAAATGTGAGAAGGTAATGTCCAAGATGCACGAACGAGTCTGTGGCAGAAGGAAGTAAGAGTCTGGGTTTCTGGAAGTTTTCATACAGAGAAATGGGATTTAGATTTCGGGTTGGAAAAACAGATTTTGGACTCTCAGGGAATTCCAGGGTAAGAGTTCGGTAGAGTTCAGTCAGCTTGGCGGAGACAGGTGGTCAGTCAATGTTGGAAGGAAAATTTGGACAGCTGGGAGTTCAGTTCAACGGGTTTAGGGTGATTTCGGCGAGGGCTGGCGGGGCTTAGGTCGAGTGTCCGTGAGGGTGAATTGCAGCTCGGTGGTCCTGGCGTCTAGTTTGGACGGGAATTTCTATGGGCGGCGAGGCGTATTCAGGCAGCGTGGCGGGTGAAATCCATCCTCCTCCGTGCGCGGGATGAGGGTGGATTTCCTTCAGGACTGCGGTGCATTTCAGGCCGGGGTGGAGGTGCTTCTCGGCCACCACGCAGGGAATTCCCTCCAGAATGGGGGCGGGTCGGGCGGCTCTGGGGTGCGCGGCTCCGGGGGGGGAAGTCCAGCGGGGAGTCGCAGGGGTTCTGGGGGATCGGACGGAGGGAAGCGGCGTCGCGGCTGCGGAGGCTCGGCCGGCCGGGGGATTTCGGCGACGTTCGGCGCCGGCGGCGGCCCCTCCCGTGCCGGGGGAACCTGTGGCCCGCGAAATGGGCGGGCGGTGGCGACGACGGCAGAGTCTCCCTCGCCTCTGCTCGGCCGCGCAGCAGCCCTTTCACCTTAGGCACGCTCCGTGGCGCGGCCCCTCCCTCCGCTCCTTTATTTAAAACCAACAGAGTACACCGCCGCCCCTAGCCTGGCAACTGCGAGCACGGTCTCCCGTGCCGCTTCCGGGAGCGGAGGCGCGGCCCCGCGGCCCGGGGAGGAGGAGGCGGAGGGGGAGGAGGCCAACATGGCGGCGCGCAGGGCTGGGCCGGGCCGCAGCCGCGCCTGAGCGCCCCACCGCCCTAGCTCGGCTCGCGGCACCCACGCCGGCACCTAGCCTGGCCCGGCGGCTGCGGAGCACGCGGGGCAGGAGCGCAGAGGCCCACCTGGACGCGGAGGCTGCGCCGCGCGGCCCGCCAGGCCCGGGACCCGGAGCTTCGCCGTGCGCCGGCCGGGGCGGCCCGGAGGCCCAAGCCATGGAATCGGAGGAGGAGCAGCACATGACCACGCTGCTGTGCATGGGCTTCTCGGACCCCGCCACCATCCGCAAGGCCCTGCGCCTGGCCAAGAACGACATCAACGAGGCCGTGGCGCTGCTCACCAACGAGCGGCCGGGCCTCGACTACGGCGGCTACGAGCCCATGGACAGCGGCGGCGGCCCCAGCCCCGGGCCCGGCGGGCTCCCGCGGGGCGACGGCGGAGGTGACGGCGGCGGCGGCGGCCCCTCCCGCGGTGGAAGCACTGGCGGCGGGGGCGGCTTCGACCCCCCGCCCGCCTACCACGAGGTGGTGGACGCGGAGGTGAGAGGGGATACCCCTAATCTCCGCGGGAGGCCACCGAGCCGGAGTTCCTGGGAGGGGACACACCCCGCTGTGCTTGCTGTGGGGAGAGGGCATTCGACTGGGGCTTCAGTGGGGGCGGAGCGGAGAAAGAGAGAAACCCCAGGATCCAGTTGGGAACAGAAGTCACTGGATTAGGGTTAAGTGGGGAGAGAGACCCTTAGGAGAGGGGTGTGAAATGGAATTAGGGATGCGGAGCAGGGCTGTGGGTCGGGGTAATGAGGGGTCCCTTAGGCTTCCGGCTTTGCACGCCGACGATGGGGAGGAGGCTCTGGGGCTATCACCCTAGATGAGAATGCAGACACAGGAGCGTGTGGTGGGAAGGAAGCTTGCAGTAGGGGGTCGGAAATGGGGTACTAGTGCACTCGGCTAGGTCGGAGATTTATTGGCACGAGGTTTCAGTGAAGGATTGGCGGAGGCATCAGGTTCAGAGTCAGAAAAAGCGGTGTGGAGCGGCCAGAGTAGTGGTCTTTTATAGGATCACTGGAAAACTGTTGGGGTTGGGGTTTTAGCCAAGGGTCGGAAAGAGGGGGCATTTAGGTTTTAAAATGAAGAGGGAGCGGGCAGGGGCCAGGAATGAGGACATGAATGAAGTCTGGGTTGAGAGCATTGGACTTGATAAGATCAGGTAATAGAGCAGGGGGGGTGGCCCTGAGAGGGCAGAGGTGGGAGGCCCGGGGAGGGGTGGGAGCTGAGGAGGTCTAGGCAGGGATGGAGAATGGAATTGGAAGATAAAGCTGGGACCAGGTTTGGGTAAAGAGGAAGTGCTGGACCTTGATAAGGTCAGAAATGAGAGAAAACTAGAATGGGAAAAGAGACAGTAGTCGTACTGAGGGTGCTATGCAGAGGGTCATGGAACAGGGTGGGACCCCAGTGGGAGTGGAGGAGGAGTCTTGAGGCTAATGGCTTTGATCAGAGACCTCAAGTCTAGGGGGTGGGATGTGAGCAAGGAACATGGGGAAAGAAAACAGACTTTTCCTATGATCAAGAAAAAAAGATCGACTAGAAGCAGCAGTGCTTTTGAATAATTACTTTGCAGAAAAATAGTAGTTTATGGCAGGAATTTTGGTCAGATTGATTGGCTAGTTCATTTCAGGGGCCAGCAGAGCAGCTTGGCCTGACCACAGAAGAGCAGAGATCTCAAATGATTGGGATTGTGTTATTAGGTATATGAATTTGGTTAATTCTTAATGAAGCTAAGTCTTCTGAAAGACTTTTTCCTGAGCAGTGTTATATCCTCTTAATTGTATGCTTTGGCAGCAGCTCCTCGGGCTGAAGTAGCTTGGGCAAGAAGGTGACACGTAAAAAAAAAAGAAAAACAGATTTCTGCACAAGATTTCTTTGGTTTTCACACTTTGACAGAGTTGCTAGATTGCCCTCTGTAACCCACTAACTCAGCAGTATCATTGACTAGTGTATGGAAATAAAGATTGTCATTCTTCCTAGTTTGGGAATTTTTAAAAATTCTCGTATAATTGAGTAACTGTACTTAAGTCACTTTAAGAAATGAGCTTCTCTCTACCAGTTCCTATCATTCCTCCCTTGTTCCTTCCAGTTTTGACCCAGTTTTGAAATCAGGAAGAAAGCCGTTGCTTTTTCAGAAGGTGTTTGTGTAACTCTGCAAAGCCCAGTGTATCCTCATTATGTGAGAAATTTTATTCTTTTTTTCTTTTGTCATACTTTTTAATTTCCAGGGATTGGAAAATCAATTTTAATTACAATGCTTGGTGCATTTATGTTAACATTAGCACCAACCTTAGCTTACTGCTAGTATGCGTAAGTACAACGAGTTGGGAGTGGCTTCTTATGTGAATGGCAAGCTGAGGAGTTTGCTTTCTGGTAAAAATCCAGAAAATCTCCATCTTTTTGAAGCAGTGCATCAAGTCCTTATTTCCCTAGACCTGTTGGATTTGGCCTGGGGGAGGGAGGCTGCACCGTTTACTTTAGAGAGTTGAAAAGGAGCTGGTGACTGAGGCTGCTTTACCCATGAAGCATATTGACAGAGGCTGGCAGGCTGTCACTTTCCTGACACACTGGAGCCTTTTGGGAACATTTAACCCAGAATGTGCTTCCGTGGTTTAAAAATATTCGTGCATGCTACTTCTTGGTCATCCTTGGTGTACACAGTGGGAAACTGAGGCTTTGATCTTGGAAAATAAGGAAAGGTAATAAATATCAAGCATCTACAATGTGTCAGGCCCTGTCTTAGGTGCATTATACAGTTTATTTAACCCTTGGTGAAAGAATTAGCGCAGCCTTTTTGGGGATACTATTATGTAGTGGGTGGCAGAGGCTGAATTTGAAGCCAGATCTCTTTGACTTCAAAGCCAATGCACTTTTCACTCTGTTCAACTCCTGGCTTTAGGATTAAATTTGTTTGGTAACAGTATGGATACTAAGGAAAAATAATAAAGGAATGACAAATTTTGAGGCTACCATGCAATGATGTCATGAGCACCAAAGCATTAGGAATCTAATAATGGGTAGAATATAAGGTGAATCATATATTTTTTTTTTGAAGCAGACTTTAGAAATTAATAATTAGTTCAGCTCCCTTATTTAGCAAATGCAGCTTTTCAGGCCCCAAAGGGGAAGTGGCTTGTTCCCACAGAGTCAGTTAATAGAAGAGGTGGGGCTGGTACTCAGGCCGGCCCTTTTGCTCTAAGTCCTGCACTCTTTTGGCCTCTCTTTCAAAGGAAAAAAAAATGGGACAAGTAATGGGTTAAAGGGAAGGAAGAAAAGAGGAGTAAAAAAACTGGGTGAAGCTTGTCAGCTATTATATAGTTAACCCTTTTTATTTCTAAAAACTGAGTACTTTATTTTAAATTATATACATTTCTATTTGCTGCATAGGAAATTTCAGTTTCGTTGTCCTCTTTAAAAATGTGAAAAAGAGAATAAAATCTGTTTAGGAATTGATTAGAAAAGAAAAATTATTTGAGTTTTTTAATATTTGTAGTTTGGGGATAGCAGTGGTTTTCTCTTACTGCCTTCAGGTCCCAGGGGCAGGGAAGAGAGTGGTGAACAGAACATGGAGTTTACATTCTAGTGAGCCTTGGTCCAAGCCTCTCATTTTACAAGAAATAACTGCCCAAGGTCATGTAGCTAGTTAGGTAAATCAGTTTGGGGCCCTGCTGTAATTAGGATTTGGTTTAAAAATTAATATTTGAACAGTAAAAGCTGTTACTTCCGGTTTAGTAGAAGCAAGGAGAATGCAGATTAAAAAGGCATAGATACCTAGCAAAACCTATAACTGCATAGAAAACCACCTTGTTAATATCCTCCAATTAAGTAAGTAAAGACAGTGTTTTGCAGAAAAGATGTGTTTGGTTCTTACTAGTTTTGTTGGATGTAAATGTTCTTGCTCTCTGGGTCTGGAAGGGACTTTAAGAAGCTGTCCGGTTTTGATTTTGAATAGCAATCCTTCAAAATCATTCCACAGCACATAAGAGTCTGTTCTATTATTAAAGAGAATGAGCTCTCACAGCTGCTCTAAATAACTTATTCTGATTTTTAACCACCCCCCTGTCAGAATTCTTCACTCTTTACTGCATGGCTAATGTAAACTCCTCTGGCCTGCTAGGTGCATTCCAATTGGTTCTGTTCTCTACAGAACTGGAAGAGTTGGGCCTTTGTAATCCCTCCGGGATCAGTAGAAATCTGAACAAGGTATCCCGTGCGTCTTACAGAACTTAAAAATTATGAACTGTACCTTATCCATAAGGGATACCTTTATACATGAATAGTATAACGAATACCTTATTCATTAAGTTTCTTTATTTTATCTTTAGAAAATACTAAAATGAAAGTTTTTGGAAGGAAATTCCATATTAACTGAGGAAATACCTTTCTTAAATGTCTAGTGCTGTTAATTAATATCCCCAGAAGTGACCTTTAATACTTCCGGTGATCTGATAAATGTTGTGACTCCTTGTTTTGTTCCTGTTTTAATGTGGACATTCCTTCTGGAGGTATTATTTTGTCAGAAGTATTTGCAAGATTTCATTGCTTTTTTGTTTTTTAAGTTTAGAGCCCCAAAGTTGGTCCTGCTTTAGTATGTCTAAGTCACATAAAAATAAAAAACATATTATTTGTAGTTCTTTAACTCATTCCTGTTTCTTTTTTTCACCTTTGGTAGAAAGTGGTAATTATAAATGAATTAAAATTGTAATACTGTCAATGTGTATAATTAAGGTTTATGTTAAAATTCATGTTCTCCTTTTCCTAAAATACAACAATCCTAGTATGAATGTGGAGTAAATATCAGATGACTAGTTTTTAATTAACTATTAGTGATTCGAATACATGACCTGTGGTTTGTGAATTACCGTGATTTGGTAGATTTAAAAAAACAAAAAAGTCCTTTAAAGGTTTTAGAGTAAAAAACGAAATAATTTAATTAGTTGAAAGTAGATGAAATAAAAATAGAGAATTAAAGATGAATCAGCATAGCCTAATTTGAAATAAGAATTTATTTTTGAACCTGTGTGTGTGTGTGTGTGTATGTGTGTGTATGTATTTATCTCCTTTGGGAATTATGTCTGTGAGTTAATCTAACAGATGGAGTCTCACCTTGTAATTACCTGGCCATTCACTTTTAGAATGAATGTAATTTGGTATGGAGGGAGTACCTTTTGTGTGTTCGTGAATGTGGTTTTAGTGAAATCATAGTAGATTGTGACAGCTTTATGCAGCATAATAATATTGTTAGCTTAAATTTTGAAACCAATTTCAATGTTAGAAAAGTAAATATTGTAATGTTTTAACAATTTGAGGAAAAGGTTTCAACGTTAATAGAAAAATATGTTCATATACTTAAGTATATTTATACTTACTGCCCTCAATATCACATATCAATTACTTGAATCCAGGTGTGAAGGAGGGCTTTTTTTTTTTTAACTTTTAATAAGGAAATATTAAGAAAGATTTAGTAGAATCTTTCAAATCTGAAGTTGAGTTTT